CATTAAGGAGGAAAAAAAAAAGAGTAAAGATTCCTTTTTTCAGTTAAGAGTTGTAGAATAAAAGCAAATATAGCTTCCATAAAGAGGTATGACATAGCCTAGAGTGGACACAAAAGCATGAAGTGATGAAACACACAAAAGACACACTCTACGAATTACCTTTTCAGATCACCTGAGAATAAAGAAATGAACAATATCCAGCAGATAACCAATAAATAATTTTATGAATAGGTAACTATAGTTTATAAGCTTGTTTCTCACACTGTTTCCTCAACATACTTTCTGTATAGCTGTGTTAAAATGAGATCCCACTTGCTAAAACCATACAGGTATCAAATTCTTCCTTTACCAGCAACTTGTGCTGCAGCCTCAGATACCTGTAGCTACTCAGTTAAGACTACATGTGTGTACATAAAACCACACAGATTTTGATGCTATTGAGATTTAATAGTCCATATAATATCAGTGTGTTTACATTTCTATCTCACAAAACTACTTCTAGGATTTTTTTTTTCCCATCAGTTACATCTGATTCCTTCTTTGCATATTGACATGGTCTCTCTCCTTTTTTTGTTCTTTTATACACAAACCAGTTGTTCTTATCTATAGAAAACCAGGTAACAGTAAGTCACATTAAGACTTAAGTTTCATACAGCAACTTGCAAACTTTTGCTGTTGTTGACAAGAGCTGGATTGTTGGTTGGATGTATGGATTTTAAAGCAAAAGCATATGCTTTCTGGACACCATTTTGAATGGTAAATGTTCAAAAAAAAAGGCACTAATACATGAAAAATGAGTGATTTGGAAATCATACACTTGTTTTACACTATAAAGTGTAAGGAAAAATAAACAAGACTGCAGAAGAAGATCCTTAACAGCAGTGAAATAATGTTCATTACGAATATAGATATAACAGAGCTTTTAAATACAGAGAAGGTTGAAATAAAATCTTGCAATAGATATGAATATTGTGCATCTTACAAGTCAGGGTCTCTAACGACATTGTAATATGAAATGGCAAGTTGCAGATTTCTGTACCTTACTCTACGAAGAGATGAAAACTAAGACAAACGGATATAATACACACACAGGATGATTTAATTTGTCTCAGAACATCCATGTGTCATTTATTTTTAGATCAATCAGATTATGTTTCTTTTAAATGAGTCCAAACTCACATCCTGTGATGTGTTTTGATAAAGGACAGGCATCAATATATTTATACAATAGATGGCTTTTATCTGTTAAAAAGCCACCCTAAAATTTTTGAATGGGCATTCCAACATCTCAGAGTCTTAAATTTCAATATATTCTTGGCTAGGATCAATAATTTCTGTCATTTCATAACATCATGCCATAGCTCAAAATGCTGAAATTACTTTCTGCTTCAAAGGAACTGCCACTTGATATTACCTCCTAGTATCACTCAGTTCATTATTCAGCCTGCTTCTACTTCTTTATTCCTACACAATTCCCATTTCTTGTTACTTAACATTAGCTTATTTTAGACCGTGCCCAAAGAAATGTTCCATGTCACACATAAAGGAAGAGTCACCACTCTCTACCCAGAAAACGAGTTTCTATTGTCATCATAAAGATGTATAATGATGACTCTTTAAGAGAAGAGCATCTGCATTACCCTCTCACAATCACTTCTGTTTTTTCTGGAAATCTTGAGGTTCTAAATTGATTTTCTTGAAAGCAACTAGGAAACGAATCACTGGTAAGGCCTTTAGGGGAAGTGGCATAAACCCTCTGCAAACAGTCTGGAATGCAAGGTCAGCCATATATTCCTGTGGATTATGCCATCTTTGCCACAAAGAACATCACCTTTCCCTTGATTGCAAGCCTTTTTAAAGGATCTCTAACATTTCTTTCCCTTGTAGCACTTCCAGCCTTAGTCTAAGAGGAGTTCCTTTTCCTCAAGACCACAAGTGTTCACAGACAATTCAACTGAGGTTATCTTTGCTGTAGGTAGGTGTCTAGTAGCAACTGGATTTTTTCCTGACTGTTAAAGAAACAATGAGATATTAATATTCATACTCAAGTCTAATCAGAGTTACAACAAAGTTATTGACATCTGAAAAGCTTTGCTCTACAAAACTGGCTTGAACATTCAACTGAACTCCCACTGAATAGATAAAGAAAATTATTTTACTTCCTAGGTTTCATCCACAGGATGAAAAATGCTGATGAAAACTGATAAGAAAATATACCTTTAGATTTTGATCTCTAGAGAAGGTCAATGTGATTTTCCCTCAGATGTACTGCATATTAAGAAAAAAGTGTTAGAGCTAAGGGCTAAGTTTGGAAGTACACAGCAGGGAAGTCCTCCTTGTATATGTTGATGGTCTCACTCTTGAAATAGAAGAAATGGAAATCAATGTAATCATCTTTCTTTTTGCTCAATCAACCACCATCTTGCCGAGTTGTCTTGACAGAACAGCTCAACTTTTATTAACTATTTAGAGGAGAAAATTTAAAAGTTCCTGCCATACTGAGAAATATAGCATATGTAGATTCTCATAAGAATACTCTTTTTTTTTGTTTGTTTCTCCCAGAATACTATTTTAAATTCTGTACATGATTTTCACACACACTCTTCTCTCTTTGAGAGTTCAATTATATGACAGGATTTAGACTGAAGATGGTATCTTCCTTGCTCGTCCTCTGCTACAGGGAACTTCCAGGTACTGTTTCTGTTCAGCTGTTTGTGTACCCACGATCCAGCAGTTCATAGGCTACATGAAAAAGTGCTCATTTAAAAAAAATTTAATTACAAAAAATGCTTAGTTTTTTTTTTTCCTAGAAGAACATCACAGAACTATGACATGCTGTAGCCAAACAGTTGAAATAACACAAGTGGGTGGAAAAGTAACTCCTCAATCAATTCTGCCACTGAAGAGACAAGTTATTATACAGCACCATAGCTTGTAGGTTTGTGAGGATGACTTTCCATCTTCATTGTAAATTTGAGACTGCTAGCTCATTTCTGCTCTCTTTTGTATGTTTGAAAAAACTCCAAAATAACAGAGCAGAAATGGAGCTTTTTGGACAAAAGTTTGCTACATTTGAGCGCCTAATGTTAATCTCCTATACTGAAAATATAGGTTTGAGAACAGAAGTAAAACTCAGAAGTGCTTAGGTAGTTAAGATTCAGTTTCAGTGGGATATACTGTCCACAAGCATATCTGAAGCAACGTCCATCTCTATTCAACGCTTAAATATAGCTTTAAGTGTACTTGAGTCCTTAAAACTTCAGGTACCTACATCGTTGTTTTACCATTCTGCCCTTACAGAATATACATATTTTTTTTCATCTGTAGCCAAGAAATATCTCTGTGTCGTATACACATTAACTATCTTTATAAGACTACCTACTATCAAAGAGATACAGTATGAATTCTTTAAAATTGATATTTTGGTGCATCTTTCCATCTTGTGCCGTAAGATATTCTGATCGCAAAGTTAAGGGATAAGTAACATAGTTATATTTTGACTGTGCCATAATAATCTTCAAAGAACTGGGGGTTTTTTATTCCTACCTAAAGCAGTTCCAATCAAACGCTTTCTTAATTACTGTTCCACATACATTTCCAGCACCTCAGAATGCTGCTTACAAGCTAATTCAGAGTGACAAAACAAAAAAAACTTTGAAAATTAAGCATCCTCACCACTGCCCTCACTATTTTTAAAGAAGTACCCCTTCCCACCGTATATATAAATGGAAGCCTGAAGACCATAAGCAGAACACATCTTTAAATAAATCATTCCCCAGACAAGTCATTTTTGGTACACAGTCAGGGAAGGGCAAGATAATTAGCTATTTATTTGTTCAAGAACAAAGCAGATAATCCCATTGCCTGACATTCAGTGCTTCACATGAAATATGACCATTTCACACTCTTGGAACATGTGGCCAGGTTATTCCTAGCACATAATTTGGCCTGTCTTTACTTGCCAGATTTCCCATTGCCAGGGGGCATAGGAGTCTGACCTCCCAACATTTGACACGCTGCAATAATTTACATTCTCCCATACACATAGGCAAAATCAAACAATCCGGCTGAATGGCCACCTTTTAAATTCAGGAGCTTTCATTCCAAAAATACAAAACACATATGCAGTGAAGTTATTTATTTCTTAAATCACCATTGTTCACAGCAGCATCTGAGTGCCACTGTGAACAAGAAAAAGTCATTGCTTTGCAGAGGTTAGTATAAGAGCTTAAGGTAAATTAAGATGTGAACAGGTTCTCCACTTCCAAGTTGCACTGAGAAAAAAATCAGCCTATTTTACAAAGAGGAATACTATGCTGAATTCAAACTTGAAGTTGCACAAGCAGACAGAGTAACCCATACCTCCATAGCTACATGAATATCCAGCTTGCTCTCTAAATTAGGGGGTGTTGCTGCAGAGCTGAGGAATGCCCTGGAGTTAAGAAGACCACATCTAACCAACTGTTACGTTTTGCTAGGTTCACTGTTGTCACAGTATCACACAAACTGTTTCAGTTTCTCCTGCCTTTATATATGCAGTACAGCCATGTATAACTTCTTCAAAATTACTCTTTAAGGCTAATGATTGTTAATAACTCAGTGAAAGAAAAGTAACCAATGAAGAGATGATGAATTTCAAATAAATACACCGATAGTATGCAATGACTCTCATTAAGTCCACATAATGAAGCTCTGTATATTCAAATGACTCTTGAAACATTAATTTAAGAATTTGCTTGACAATACTTTTGCTTCATAAATACTTTTTTTCTAAAATAGCTATTTTACTGTTCAAGATCTACCAGCATTTTGTGATAGACAACACAGAACGTACTATTGCCTGTAGGTCTGATTTTCTCTTGAGAAGACACAAAACAGTCATCTGAAAAACAGAGCTATAGCTGAAAACAGAACTAAATCAGCACTCAGAATAACTTATCCCAGTGGTGTTTATTGTCTTTTTCAAAAGCTAGTATTGATACCATTAGCAAGTCACTTACCATATTTATTGATGAAACAGGACCAATGCTGTTGACATAAATGTCAACATCAATAACTGTTGGTTTTACTGTGGAGAAAAAAAAAATAATATTATTTTGAAGAAAATATAAGTAATGACTTTAAATATTTTCTCCCCAAATAACTGTAAGGTCTACTCTTCAGGTAGGACCACTGAGAAATATGGATTATGTACTTTTCAGGAAGACAACGTTCTTTTCCTCCTACCCAATAAAAACTGCTGTAAATTACAGCCTGTACAACTTCATCATTACGATCCCCGTTTATCTGAGCAGCAATTTGTTAACAGAACTTTCAGTGCTAAGCACAGTGGCTCAAAGTCAAAATCTGAGATGACTGACATGAAACTATTCATCATATCACTTTTTCCCACTTCCTCAACACGTAGGTCCTTTAGAATGTTTGTCCCACGTCAAAAAATCCTTCAAGATTTTCTCACCTCATCAGCCCTGAAATCATCCTAACTTAAGAGTAAAATCACTACGAAATCCATTCAGCTAAACCTCAGCAACTCTTCTCCTATCAGTTTTGACTTACTCCCTTCAGCCCACATTGTCTTTGCACTCATTCATCCAAAGGTTTCTGAATTTGATTTGGTTTAGTCAATAGAAGTTTCTCACACGGTCTTCCACATTTTCAGACTTCCAGGATTTAACAGGCCAGGGTAAGCTCTGTACTCATTTCTTTAGCTGAAGCCACTAGGATTTATCTTCCTTTCAGCATTTTTGGTGTCGATGTGCAAGCTGTTCATTATTCAAATAGCTCTTACAGGTGATGTAGTCGAGCTACAAAACAATGCCACTCAATACTGAAGATCACATTGTTGGGTTTTTTCCTTACACCACCCTCCTTCCAACCCCCACAGGGTATACATTAACCTCTAAATTAAGATCTAAATTGGTATTTTACTTTCTCCAGGGTTAGCTGTCCCAAAACTAAGAATAAATTCTGTTGTAACCTGCATTGTCAGAATTAATGTTGGCCCTAGCAGACCAACAGCTTCTGTTAGACAACTCCATTTCACATAGAGACACCTTCCCCAATTTGGTCTTCAAAAGTCTCCAGAGAGCAATTCAAACCACTGAAGTTTGGGAACTGTGCTGAACTCAGGACTTTTCTGCAGCAATCCCCAAGCCCCCAGAACAAGGAAATGCAGGTATATCACCCACTCAAGCTCAGAGAGCTCTCCTCAGGGAAGCTACTGAGCAGAGTATGGAGGAATAGTTAAATACCACAGTTCTGTGGGAAGCTTATCTCGGGTGGATAACAGCTCGTTTGTCTAAAGCTTAAGAAGCCATCCGGCACAATTATGAATATAGACATTAACCTTCACATGTGAAGATGAATAATAGTTGCTGGCATGCCCTAAATTTCAGACTAACAACAAGATGCCAAGGAGTTTTAAAGTACCTGAAAAGTTGGATGGTTCTGAAAAAATAAGCTGGCTGCCTTGTCATGTAAGATTTTGGTACACGTGTATCATTAGGAAGACCAGATCTAATGTTGCAAAAGGACATTAAAGTGGTACAAATAGTAGTTAAAGATGATAACCATTCTCTCTAATTCATTATGTACCACACACTTTTTTGACTGCATACGGTCAGAACATCCAGGATTATTTAAGGTCACATTTTCAAATTCTCTGAAGTGCTGGCTTAAAAACTCATATCTTCCCTTCAGCAAAAGAAAATCTGAGCTCAGTTGAATAAGCACAACTGATTAATGCAACTCTAATTGTACCCAACTAATAACTAAATAGGAGTCTAGCAGCTTCTGGTAATGAGACTTGCCTCAAATGCAGTAATAAATGTCATTACATAGGAATTGGTAATAGCAGGGAAATACAGCTAGCTCTTTTACCAAGATAGCATACATGGAATAAAGGGCTCAGATCTTTTTAGGGCTTATGCACATATCTAGCTGGAAGTTCAACGTTAAGGAGTTCTAGGGAACATTAATGGGACTCAACTCACTGATGTAAACTGGCATGCAGTTGAATCTTGGCACGATCAGAGCCAAAGTTCAAGACCAGAACACAGTGTTTGGAATCCATTTTCATTTAATCATTGCAGTTAAGTACATATATAGATTAGGAGATGATAATTTCTCCTGAACATGCTGGGCCAAATCCTCTTGCAGTGCAAAAAAAAAATAAAAACTGAAGCACTTCTCATTAATGCTAAAGACAGTTTGGTCTTACTCACAGTAAAGCTCTAATCTGAAAACAGAAGAAAACTGAGCAGCGGCCACCTCCTATGTCAAATTAAATCAGCATCTCACCTCAGACATTCTCAGTGAAATTCAGATTACAAACAAAATAAAAATAAAAACAGGTAAGCTATCATATCACTATGACAACAACAAAACTTGAAAGTTCCTTTGAATTATTTTTTTTTTTCCTAGGCAGAGGCAGAAAATACAATTGTATAACAATTGCATGGTAAATATCTGTTCAGGTTTTGAAAGAAAAGACAGAAGAGTATAGCTCTTGTTGCACGTGGTATCTTGTGGATATAAACAGATAAAAATTGGGAAAAAACATCACATATAAATTTTAGATTTGTTATCATAGGATTTTAATTCAAAATAAAGACCATAATGATGCAAGAATTTTAAGATTACTTCTACTAAAAAACATTATCAAAAAGAAAATAACTGAGTCTTAAATTTATCATGTATTACTAGAAAGAACTCAGCCCCTACCAGTCTTCAAAATAAAATGAGTTCCATGGAAGACATAAATAGCTACATTACCAATTATTTCAAAGTCTGCTCTGTTTTTCTGCATTTTTGAACTCTCAGTTCATGGGCTGACTTAAGCCATGCATAGAGTTGCACTAAGAAAGCCCTCGAAGTCTTGTTGACTAAACAACGAAAGCACTAATACCTCACTAAAAGTTGGTAATAAGACAATAAATGGAAACTCGGCTCCAGCACTGCTTAGATAACAGCATCAGCCCAAAATAGTTCTGAAGAACTGTCAGAAACTTAGAAAAATTACTGGCAGAACCGTGTGTATATCATACACAGGAGAGCAATTACAGGTTGTCAACAAACGTACCAATCCTCTTAAAGTTCTTTGAAAGATTCTTTAATGTACAGTAGTTAGCTTTCCCTAAAAGACAATGTAAGCACATCCAAGTAACTGCAGTGTTATGCTGCTACACCATGCTATCTAAGGTTAACCAACTGCATATTGCAATCATTTGATCTTCAAATGTGCTGGTTTTAACTGAGGAGGGGATTTATCAAGCCAATCAAAATACCTGGAAACAAAACGCAGGAAATGCCAATTTTTAGCTAACAGTCCCCATCTGATCCACATCAGAGAGTGTTTATTTTCCAGTCTGCCTTGTGACTATCCCTTGTGACCATGATAAGAGGAAATGGCCTCAAGTTGCACCAGGGGAGGTTTAGATTAGATATTAGGAAAGATGTTTTTACTGAAAGAGTGGGGAGGCATTGGAACAGGCTGCCCAGGGAAGTGGTGGAGTCACCATCCCTGGAGGTGTTCAAAAAACGTGTAGACGTGGCACTTCAGGATATATTTTAGTGGTCACGGTAATGCTGGGTTGCCGTTTGGAATAGATGGTCTTAGAGGTCTTTCCCAACCTTAATGATTCTATGATTGCAAAGACACATCCAAGTGAAATCAATCTACACACTTTTAGACAGTTCAAAAGACACCTAGTCGTGAGTTCAACACTGCCTGCAAAGCTCCTTTAAAAAGCCAGGTGAACACTTACCCAGCGACTGTAAAGCTTGGTCAGGTGTGTCTGAACAACCAAACACAGAAACAGCTAAAATAATGCCCTGATTACAAATACCCACGCAGGCCAACTATGGGATTTGTGTAGTCCTGCTTTATAGATTTATGCTGGTGAAATAAAGAGTACCTGATCTTGATTCCCATTAAAATTTATGAAGACTTTACTCTTGGACACATGCAAGCTTATCATGTCTGTAAAATAACTTGACATAAATCAGGAGAATTTTTAAAGACTTTTGAGAAAATGAATAAAGGGATTGTTATACCATTTCACAAGTCACATAGAGAAAAAAACCTGCAATAAGATCCTGACATTTTATTATGCTTATTTAGTACATCAAATTATCCTGTCCTTTTAAAATATCTCTTAATTTTTGATAGATCCCTGCTATTCAGAAGTGACACTTATTTCATGAATGAAACCATTTTGTTTGCTTCCTACAGAGAGCTTCCTCCACATTTGAAGTCTGTCTAAATAGCATTTATGTTCCTGCGCAAATCATAAATATTTAGAATTATGTTTTAAAGTTTAATGTTTAGAAATATTTTATTGGTAGTTCATTTAAACATGAGCAGAACTATTTGATTTCTCATAAATTTTAAAATAAAATTAAAATTTATTTTTGTGAAGAGTTATCCTTTCTTACACTGTTCAGGCAACGCCTAGGTCTAAATTATTCTTGTTTTACCCAAAACAGTGGCGGTAAAAATGTTATGGATAAATATTCACATATTTATAGAAGCAAAGCTATTACCACTAGATTTTCAGAAGGTATGCAACCACATAACAAACATAATATGAACTCTGTTCCAGAAATACACAGACACTTAAATTCTGGCTAGAGTTCCACAAGACTTCTGAATGCAGAAGACTAAAAATTTTGGCTCTACAGTAATGAGATATTTTTTGAAATTACTCTATAATGATATTTTACAGTATCTCATTAGCACATAAATTGCTATTTTTAAATTGAGATAAAGCTATAATAAATCATTACACAGTTATCAGTAACTGTAGCAGTAGCGGTTATAGTGTTAATGCTTACTTTGCATTAGTGATGATGACTATTAGTATTTTCTCACACGACCTTATAGGCTACATTAATTAACTGTTTGTTCCTGTAACACAAATGGCTATGGTAACAAGTCACTTCCAAAAAAAAATTGTGGTCACCTAAAACTTCTATACTTCAAGACAAATTACCGCATTTGAAGAAAGATATAGTAACATGAAGTGTTGAGTCCCATCCCTGGAGGTATTTAGAAGACATGCAGATGTG